AACAGAAAGACCCGGGGTGGTGAGACAGGAGGGTTGAACTGCTTTATGATCTCTCACCTGCCCCTCCCATAATGTCAGTTTTACAAAAGTAGCATTATTTTTATGTACTCACATGCTACTACCTGATAAACAATAGATCATTGTGCTTTATGAAATAATAGAATTGGCTTTGTATAGATACCAGTCTTGATATACCTGAGGTAGATGACTCCCTCATAAGGGGTAATGTGTGTCTTGACTCCTTTGGACCTCCTAAGCCCAGTGTGTCTGCGATCAGTGTTTCATGTGGCATCTATAAATATTCTCATTATTAATGTATCATCCCCTGGTCCAAAGTTATGAATGAGTGGCATTTGTGAAATAGTTTTACTGGCAGGATTTTGTTTGAGGGTCATTTGCTTGTTATCAGGCCAGGCCATCTATGTGTATTAACTGGGGTCCGTCAAGTGATAATTAAGTGCCAAATTTAAAATCTAAAAGAGAGATAAGGACTCCCTAGCAAATGCCACGGCAGGTGAGCTGACCTGGGTGCATAGGCTCATGGATCCCATAACCAGAGTCCCTAAAAGATACCTTTAGATAGTTTATGGGCCCATTCACACCATTAGGTGTATGTACATTCTTCTCTATTGAACAAACACATGTACTACTTATGACGTTTGCAGTGCACCAAAAGAAAGAGTATTTGTGTGTTGTGCTACACTATAGCCAATGTGCATTCTTTGTTACTGTATATATGTGTGTTGGGGTACCATTCAAAATGAATGTCAATGCAACACAAACATGCCATGTATTACTGTGCATTGCTGCAACCTTAAAACTCAGGTTTTAGTCCGTTTTACTGCAATACAAAGGTGGAAATTCACCCTAACTGTCCAAACCTGAAAAATCTATTTGGGTGGAATTGCTCAAGCAAGACTCAGGCTAAAAGAGGGAGCAACAGCACTGGAACATGCTTACAGGAAGGGACAGCACTTGAATGACTTCAACAGTATGCCACTGCTACTCTGCTGTCTAGTCAGGGCTGGATGTATTTCTTAACTGCAATGTAGCCTGCAGAGAGGTTAAGGATCTGACTGTTCAAACAGGGATGTCTAGATCAGAAGATTTGCAGAAGACAATTACAAATCCTTAAGCAGGTAAATCAATTTGCATAGTCTGCATAGGTATTTGAGCTGTGCATTTAGCTGTTTGCCTGGATTTCAGCTTTGACTTAGCTCACCTTTGCAAGTGTCCTTAAAACACACACCAGCTTCATATCTCCTTTTTCACATATCAGTGCAGGGCAATATTACAAGGTGCAATAATCAGGATAGAACATTCTTCCATAATATAATGAATTCTCTAGTGATTTATATAGGATTTCCATATCCTATGGGGAAGTTCTGCAATAAAAATTTTACTTCTAGCCAATTCCATATGGAACAAAACAAATGGAGGCAGCTGGGTTACCCAATTAACACAGGTCGCTGCAGCCTGAGGTCTGTCTGCACAGCTCAAATACCTATGCAGGCTGTACTGCTAGAACAGTACTACTGGAATATGAGCTAAAACTCATTTTACAAGCCCCAGCAATGGATTGTTTGTCTTTACTGAAGCATGACTGTGAGTGATACAGTTCTCATTGAAAGAAATGTGTAAAACACCTTGGAATGATGCAGTGCATGCATCATCAATGAAAATATGCCAATAAACAAGCATGGCAAACATATTAAGTCTGACGGTAGATGACTTGGTTTAATAATTACATTTCAATTTATTCTATTTGTCATCTACAGAAAAGTATTTCCTTTAGGGGGAGCTACATCAGCGCTTACAATATGCAATTATCATTTCCAGCAAACCTGACAGATTGAAACTAAGTTCAGTTTCAAATGTGCATTAAAAAGGAACTCCACCCCTTTTAGTTGATGTTATTGTTTAGAATTTGTTTACAGGGGGCTACTTTTCTCATAATTTACACATTATCTGCATGGCCTAAGCAGAAATCACTGTGTGCTTATTTAGAAATAAGATCCTAAAAAGCAAGCCTGTACATATTGTGAAAAGTAATGTATAAAAAATAAATAATATGTGCCGAGCTAAAAAAACATTGTGTCTATCCTTCAAATCATGAGGATGGCCGGGTGCATGTGTGTTGCTTACCTGGGGAAGAGATGGCACCAGGATGCACTAAGGGACGAAGGCAAGCTGGCAGAGGCAGTGTGGTGCTTTTAACAATGTTCTGCTGGGAAACCTTGGGTCCTGCCATTCATGTGGACGTCACTTTGACACGTACCACCTACCTAAACATTGCTGCCAATCAAGTACACCCCTTCATGAAAACAATATTCCCTGATGACATTGGCCTCTTTCAGAAGGCTAATGTGCCCTGGCACACTGCAAAAATGGTTCAATAATGGTTTGAGGAACACAACAACAAATTCTCCAGATCTAAGTCCAATCGAGCATCTGTTGAATGTGCTGGAAAAACAAGACTGATCCACGGAGGCCTCCACCTTGCAACTTACAGGACTTAAAGGATCTGCTAGTGATGGCTTGGTGCCAAGATACCACAGCACACCTTCAGAGGTCTAGTGAATTCCATGCCTCAATGGGTCAGGGCTGTTTTGGTGGCAAAAGGGGGACCTACTAAACATTATGTGGGTGGTCATAATGTTATGGCTGATTGATTTATAATATTATATATAAGTGTATAAGTGAAAACATACCATAACTATATGAAACAAGATATATTCATGCAAACTTTAATGCACAATTAAAAATGACTGATGTTAATCCCAGTGTAACATGTTCAGAATTGGTTCTCTCAGGTGCTGATAGTGGATCCTGATACACAGACCAGGACCCTACCATCAAACTGACAGCCAAGCCCTGCAGATTATATCACGGGTGCGGTAACAATGTGCATTCTGTAGTTTGCATAATAATGATTGTGTACAATTTAGTGCTTAGTAGCACACTGAGTTTGACTCTGACTCACCTGTTCTTTGAGAACATTCACTAAGGCCTGTGCATGTGTTTGTTCTTCCTTGGCTTTTTCTAGTTCACTTTTCCTGGTGTTTAACTCCTCCTGCATTGCCACTAATTGCTAAGAACAAAACACAAACAGAAAAAAAAGTAAGTACTATTTCATACAAAAACTTTTATCTGCTCCTTTCTCACCTTTTTACTGTTAATATATTGGTAAAATTTTTTGGGGTTCTTTTTACTATCTGCGGCGATATGCTTTTCGCACTCCGTTTTAGCTGCCCGGATTTCTAGTTTGCATTTTTTCATAGCTTTCTAAATTGTTAGTTTTTCAGTTCACTTGCCTTCAATTCAAATAAATTAATGTGTGCTTTTCTAAGTGTGGAAGAAACAGTACTGTGCATACTGTACTGTACCAGACGTGATTGAAAATGTTAACAAACATGATCTTGTCCTGCATTCAAAGCTGCTGTGTGGGCCACATCACATAGGGCATCAGTCAAGTCAAAATAAAAGTCAATACAACAAACTGCAGCATGCATCCATTTTTTCACTGTACTATTACAAACTATACCTCTATAATCCTAAAATTACTGTACTGTCTTTGCTGTCACATCTGCCAACATAAAGTGCAGTGAATAGCATATCTGTTTAAGGATCCTTGTGTGTATGAAAGGCCAAAATTCCGAGCTTAAACAAAAATATATAGAATGTATTCTTGCCGAGACTGTAAAGCTGTTTTCCCTGGAGATATAATGAAGTCAAAATTGACCAGACATTCAGTTCCGGAAAGCTGGAATAACAAACAAGTCAGATCTATCATGCACATCCTGCTTTCCAATTTGTGATGTATAAGTTTATTATCCAAGAGGGCATCTACTCCAGCAGACAGCTACCCATCAACTTCTAATGCTTATTTTCTGTGTTACTTTACAAAGGAAGCGGTAGCCATTACTAAAGAGCATGACCAGAAGCCTAGGAGGAAAGTACAAATGGGCCACTAGGCAATCTTTCTGCTTTGATAAAATACTGAGTCATGAGCTACTTCACAAATTGCTAAATTGCTGATAAAGAATACATACAGCAATCACAGAAAACAGATTCAAGCGCATGTCAAATGTCCTGCTTTCCATCCAAATACTAATTATCCTGTACCAAATGTTTCTGCATCCAAAATTCAACAGCTGACTTATTTTTCCCAAACATAAAATGCAAGCATATACTTTCTCATTACCAGCTTATTTAAATGCCACTATCTCTTCTTTTAGTTGAAAAAAAAGCTGATCTGAAAAAATAACTGGGTTATTTTAAAATGCATCTGTGACATTCACAAAGCTTGGTTTAAAAAGTGATAGATCAGTTTTTGAGCCCAATACCAAAATAACATTCACAAAGAAGCACCATAAAGATACCAAAAGCCCCTTGAAAAAGAGTATAAAACGGAAGGAAAGGAAATACTTTTTTGTTATCAACAATTGGCTGGTCCTGGCTACAGTAGAGGACTCTAATTGGATGTTATGTCCAAAATACTTTCTTCTTGTCTTAATACAGAAAGTATTTTATAAGGAAAGTCTTACACTGTACAACAGATACAGATTGCAGCAATTTGTTCTGGTATCTTATGTAGTAAATAAGGGTTCCCATATACAGGATGGCACGCGTGAACCTGCCGATTTGATCAGCCCTCCCAGCCCAGCCCTTGTCAGTATATTGGATAGGGCAATTGTGATCTTATGTGGCCAGTTTATAACAGAAGAAGTAAAGTAACAGAAACATATTACACAAAGCCTGAGAAAATTATATCTACAGTGACCAGGTATATATAATCTAAAGAGCATTGTTTTCTACACATTGCAGAGTAACATACATTTTCTTCCAGATTATTCTCAAGAAACTGTGTCATGTTTACCCTATAAAAAGGTATCTGAAGTAGGATTCAGAAATCATGCTGCCCCTAGCACAATATAACTAACAATGTACATCATAAGTCTCATCATCTCCTCAGCAACCATTTCAAATGGTTATTATTGGTAAAAACTCATCATGCTACAGAGTTTTTTAACCCTTCTTGGTGCATTGGCACACAGGCATCCAGCAACAGTCAGGCCAAAAAAAAAGATGATATGTAAATTCAGAGGGTAACCACGATGACTTTGGGAGTTTTCCCTCATTTCTTTATTGAAATTGTAGACACACAGGTCTACAAATACACTAAATACAGTCCTGCTGGTGGCTACATAAATATATACCGTAGTTAAATATTGTTTTGTTTAATTGCCTTTGGTACTATATTAACCACAAATAAAAGGGACATTGTCTGATGTTATGTATACACAAATGTTTTAAAAAATCAGTTTGATATAAATCTTACCACTGTATATTAACGTATTAAAACTCCTGTTTCTATGTATTACTTATGGACAATTTATGTCCATGTGAGCAGCCATATTTCTTTAGTGCATATACGGGTTATGTGTAAAGCTGTCTAGTTCTCCATACTTATCCCAATGCAAGCCAACCAGACAGGGTCTGTTACGTTGAAAAATTTCACCCACATATCTCTTAATATCTAAAGATATTTACCTAGGTCACACGAGCTAGCAGCATTTATTTTTTATTTATTGCAAAAAAAACTGGGTACTTTCCGCTCAAATTTTTAATGCTGCAATGGATTCCATTGATTCATGCCAAGCGTCAGGTTTAATGGAAGGTCTACTTAGGAGTCAATAAAAAACTAAAAGACACT